TCAACAAAATACAAATCTATAATTTACCACATTTAAAAAAACGCAACACTACAAAAACTAATTACTAGCATACAATCTCAAAGTCTTTCAACCCATTTCAACCCGGAGCAACACAGCCATTATGCATTAACTGGAAAATAAGGTTGACAATCATCCAAGAAGGTGTTTGCGAAATAGGTGTGTCTTTAAATTGGTTTTAAAGGACTCCAGTGTCTGGTTGTTTCTGAGATCGTCAGGAAGGGCGTTCCAAATTGTTGGACCAGCAAATGCGAAAGTGCGCTTTCCGTAAGTCTAAAGTCAAACACGTGGTGTCGAGAGTTTGCCACTATCTGATGAGCGGAGCTCTCTAGGCGTAAGCAGCTCTTTCAGATAGGACGGCGCCAGGTCATGTAAGCAGCGGTAGCACAAAGTTGCGATTTTGTACTCTATGCGAGCACGCACCAGCAGCCAATGCAACTCTCTCAGAAGTGTTTTTGCATGGTCGAACTTGCGTTTGCGGAGAACAATGCGAGCCGCATTATTCTGTGCTATTTGAATTTCATCCAGGAGCGTAGCATTGCAATAGTCCATGCGTGATAGCACAAATGCATATTATAAATCAGTCCTTAGCTACTGGTATTGTTCCATCATCTTTTAAAGAGGCGATCGTCACTCCACTAATAAGAAGCGATCACTTGATGTCGATATGTCATGAAAGTTAATAAGAAGCGATTACTTGATGTTGATATGTCATGAAAACCTTTCTTTGTGTAAACATGATATGATTTCCACCAGGCAAACTTAGCCAGCAATAGGTACTAAATAAATTTGAATATTTAGTATACTGAATAATGACAGCCTTGACATACACACATCCGCTGAATATGAACAAATCGTATACAGTACTTTGGTGGGCGAGCTCAATCTTTTTACAAAGCTCTTTGAAATTGAATAATTTTGCGTAACTGATTTTTAATGTCATGTTTTTTTTTTTTTTTTTTATGTGAAGCGCTTTACAAGACCACTTAAATTATAATAATATTAAGATATACCACCTTGACAGAGACAACCTTGACAGAGACAACCTTGACAGAGACAACCTTGACAGAGACAACCTTGATAGAGACAACCTTGACAGAGACAACCTTGCTGTGGAAGTTTTTTTTTTACAGATCAATTGACTGGCGCCTTACAGATGAATTGACTGGCGCCTTACAGATCAATTGACTGGCGCCTTACAGATCAATTGACTGGCGCCTTACAGATCAATTGACTGGCGCCTTACA